GACGACGATTACGAAGAAGATGACCAACTTCTAGAACAATTCGTTAGTGCCGCTACACCACAAGCGGTACGTCGCCTCTCAAATTCCATATCTGAGGCCAATGCTGCTGAAGATGCAGCCACATCGGCTGACGCTGATCAAGGCAGAGGCAACAATTGCAAATGTTCAAATCGTGCTGAGGATCAGGTGCACTTCCTCGAGAATTTGGAACGTGAGGAGCAGAGTTTGATGCAATCGACGCGCATAGATATGTCGCGCGACAGCATCACCAGTCATGTGGGTAATTCCGATTATAATTTTCTTGTCAGCTTCTTGCCACAAATGAAGCGTATGAGCGAGTTGCAAAATTTGCAATTTCGTGCCAAGATGAGCGAGCTGTTACTGAACACAATGACGCCGCAGCCGAGTGCTGCACCCATGCAGCTAATAGCTAATGCAGCACAATTTCAACAACAACTACAGCAACAGCAACAGCCGCAGCTGCAACTACAGCAAAAACCACAGTTGCAACTACAGCAACAACCACTGTTGCAACTACAACAACAACCACAGTTGCATTTACAACAACAACCACAGTTGCAACTACCACAGCAACCACCACAGTTGCAGCTACAGCAACAACCACAACCACAGTTGCAGCTACAGCAACCACCACAGTTGCAGCTACAGCAACAACCACAGTTGCAGCTACAGCTACAGCACCAACAAGAGCAAACTCAACGTGGTGTTATCCAATGTGCGCCCGTACCACTACAACTGGAATTGAAACAAGACGAGCAACAATTGCAAGCAACACAACAATTGCAAGCAACACAACAACAGCAGCAACCGCAGCAGCAGCAGCAGCAAACGCCACAGCGTCAACAACAGTTTACCACCACTGATCTAATGGATGCAGATCCGTTAGATAATAGGAGCGTAAGCGTTACTAGCGAAATGTGTGACGATAACTCAGTCAATTGGCCATGAAAGACGCGCACTTGCACTGCTTTCCAAAGTGTTCATTTTATTTTTCACGATTTTTACTATATTTATTTATGTATGTACCTAATTTTACTCGGCAGCCAGTCTTTCGCACAACTGAAAACACACAATCTCAAACTTTTCATGTACTAAGTATTAAAAGATTTTAACATTTTATATTCATTAATAAAATAAATTTTGTATTGATAAAAGTTTATTATTATGAAAAATTTAGTATCTATCCACATCGTAATATTTAGCGTAGTTTAAGGGGATTAATAATAACTTGGAACGCCTGTTTTTGTCAAAATTTAAGGCCCTTGGAGAGGTTTTCTAACTTAGCACGTCGTTTAAAATTACCTACCGTAAATTTCCTGCTTTGGAACTTAGACGTGTCTACTAAAATTTTTAACATTTTTGAAGGCCTTTGGCAGGACTTTGAATTATGCGGTGAACTCATTCCAGTTTGTCTATAAAATTTCGATTATTTTATACATATCGATAATTCGATGAATTTAGAAAACTTTAAAATCAGATACCTCGTAAAAATTCTATAGCTCGACTAATTTCGATGATTTTGGAAAAATTTCGATAACCGATAACGAAAAAATCGATAACTCGTTAAAAATAAGGACACCTCTATAAGTTTCGATAACTCGGTTTGCTTTGAAACTTCCATATTTTTCGAAAGCTTACGACAAACTTTGATAACTTGTTACACTCTGGTGATACTATAAAATTCGATAAGCAGTGATAACTCGATAAACTTATATAACCTTGAAATTTCGATAGCACGATATATTTTGGAAATTCCAAAAACTTCGATTTGATAAATCCAATCATTTCAGTTAATCAATAAATAGCGATAACTGGATAACCATAGCTAAAAATGCCAGCCATTTAAATATCACTTCACTATGTTCAGCGAGGAGAAATTTGAGAATTGCATAAAATTGCAAATCCAATTAAGAACGAGTGAATCACTTTTAAACACAAGTGCGTGTATGCGGGAAATGCATAAGTCACTTAAACAGGCCGATTTGGTACCTAAAAATTTAATGTCGGGATGGGTGCGATCGGGATTGAGTATTTAGTCATTTAGTCCCATGCCCATCTCTACTACGTACATATGTATGTATGAATGAATCTTCCGAATATTTAAAGGTGATTTCCAAAAGGAATTGACAAAAAATCAACCCTACTAAAACTAGCATGGTGGTCTCCTTTAACCGAATACATATCTGTGACTAGTGACCAATGGTCACTGGTGACAGAAAAAATAAACATTTTAAACAAAAACAACAAATCAAACTTAACAATGTAACACAAGTATACATAAACAGACGTGGTAGATCCCTCAGCTGTGCCCTGACGAATTGGAATTGACACTGAACCAAGCGCTGCATGGTACCAAACTAACACAATTGCATACATAACGGGTGATTTTTTAAGAGCTTGATAACTTTTTTTTTAAAAAAAACGCATAAAATTTGCAAAATCTCATCGGTTCTTTATTTGAAACGTTAGATTGGTCCATGACATTTACTTTTTGAAGATAATTTCATTTAAATGTTGACCGCGGCTGCGTCTTAGGTGGTCCATTCGGAAAGTCCAATTTTGGGCAACTTTTTCGAGCATTTCGGCCGGAATAGCCCGAATTTCTTCGGAAATGTTGTCTTCCAAAGCTGGAATAGTTGCTGGCTTATTTCTGTAGACTTTAGACTTGACGTAGCCCCACAAAAAATAGTCTAAAGGCGTCAAATCGCATGATCTTGGTGGCCAACTTACCGGTCCATTTCTTGAGATGAATTGTTCTCCGAAGTTTTCCCTCAAAATGGCCATAGAATCGCGAGCTGTGTGGCATGTAGCGCCATCTTGTTGAAACCACATGTCAACCAAGTTCAGTTCTTCCATTTTTGGCAACAAAAAGTTTGTTAGCATCGAACGATAGCGATCGCCATTCACCGTAACGTTGCGTCCAACAGCATCTTTGAAAAAATACGGTCCAATGATTCCACCAGCGTACAAACCACACCAAACAGTGCATTTTTCGGGATGCATGGGCAGTTCTTGAACGGCTTCTGGTTGCTCTTCACTCCAAATGCGGCAATTTTGCTTATTTACGAAGCCATTCAACCAGAAATGAGCCTCATCGCTGAACAAAATTTGTCGATAAAAAAGCGGATTTTCTGCCAACTTTTC